TGTAATTAATAAAAAAATAATAATAAAAGATTAAAAAAAAAGTCCTTTGCAACGGTGAGCTCAACTTTTGAGTTTCGTAAGTGAATGTCAATGGTTTACTTTTCCACAGTTGTAACTGCAGTCTCAGATCAGGACGGTTTACATCAAAACATGGAACATTGCTCCAAGCACTCTACTTTTCTGAATGTCAGTTCTCTCAACTTTATAAATTGTTTTACAGGAAACATGATTTTCCATCACTCCCTTTCACCATCTGTCTGCTGCGTCGAGGGCACCGGTGAAAAGTGTGCTCTAGATGCGGACGTGCTGCCGTCTGGCACTGGGTAGCTGATATCGCCCTCTCTGTCTAAAGCACTGGCTGAACACGGAGCTCTAGATGCAGACATGGTGCCATCCAGCACTGTTGAGCTGACATCCGCTGCGCATTCACCACTCAGCTGAAGAAGAGGCCCACTCACCACAATACTCATCCTAGCTGAACTTCTCCAGCTGGACTCCATGTCAGCGCGTAATTTTTAATAATGGCTTCCACAGCAATCAGTTTTCTAGTGACTACTGACTCTGTATTTTTTCTATCAGCTGAAAAACCATGACGTTATTTTAAAATCTCCAAGATCCCAAATACTACAAACTTTCTGAGGCAATAAATGTGCCAAGATCATTCCAACATAAAAATTAGTTCTTCTCACCTTTAAGCTGATGGTGTTTTCATTTACCTTAAAATTGCTCATGGGTTTTAGAAGTATATATGTGTGTGTGTGTTTCTCCCATAAACATGGGAGAAATCACTTAATTAACCAGAGAGGCAAGGCTCGCAAAAAGAAGAGAAGGAGAAAGAGTGAGAATCATCCTCTCAGGAAGAGAATCTGACATCTCAGGGTATCTATGCGACACTGGCCTCCTGACCCTTGGCAAGCCTCTGAGCCCGCAGATGGTCAAGTACATCTGGAAAATGGTGCAGTGCTGCAAACAACCTTGGCACACTTCCACGTGCGCTATTCATCCTTAAATTACACCTCACGCCTGGATGCTTAGCAAGATGTTGCTGGATTGTACTGCTCAGAGAATAATGATAAGAAAAACACATCTGCACACATCCAGCATGGATGCCATATTTTTTCTCAGGAACTTTACAATGTAGTTGATGGGAATCTCTGAATGTGAACCCAATGTGAAACGCTGATTGTGAAACACAATGACTCTCCATTGTTTTTTCAATTCTAAAATAAATTACGTTTATTTATTTGTATTTATGTGTGTTGGGGAACGTGCACTTATGACAGAATGACTGTGGAGGTCAGTGGACAACTTACAGAAGTTAGTTCTTTCTTCCACAGGGTGGGTCCTGGGAATTGAACCAAATTGGCAAGTTTGATGGCAAGTGCCTTTACCCTCTGAGCCATCTCAACCAGCCCAGAAGCTGATGGCTCTCTCTCTCTCTCTCTTTCTCTCTCCCCCTCCGTTTCTTTCTCCTCCCCCTCCCCCATCTCTATTGAGACAGGGTTTCTCTGTGTAGCCCTGGATCTCCTGGAACTCACTCTGTAGAGCAGACTGGCCTTGAACTCAGAGATCCACCTGTCTCTGCCTCCAAAATGCTGGGATTAAAGACATGTGCCACCACTGCCCAGTGAGGCTGATTTTTCACTTTGGCATATAAGAACTTATTACATCAACATTTTTTGCAATGCAAAGTTTGTACATCCAAAAGAATAAGAATGGCAGCTCTTTCGAGTTGTCACAGAAAAATTACTTGATGAGCTAGTGGTCATTAGGTTTAGATAAGAGATCTGCGCATGTTAAACTTATCAGCTGCTGTTTTGTATTTGTTCTCCTTGTCTTTAGCTGAGGCCAGTGGAAAAGTACCATCAGTAAAGTGACTTGAATTCTTAGTGATATCAACAAATCTCTAAGAGGTAGGTGGATACCAGGAACTCAGAGGAAGCAGGCTAAGGGAAGCTGATTTTGATTTTTCCTCTGTGTCCCAATGCCAAGCAAATACAAGAACCTAGTGAACCCCTAGGGCAGGATATAACTGTTTTTTTTTTTTTTTTTTTTTTTTTACAGCGTAGGAGTAAAAGGGCCATGCAGTTAGACAGAGCTTAATCCCTGTGCCTGAAGCCCACTGACCTGAAGGCTCTGCCTATCTGCTGCTTGGCAAACTCTGTGTGGACAGGCTGAGCATCTGGAGAGGAGGGTAGCCTTGCAAGCAGCAGTTCTACCTGCTGCTGCTCCCTCTCCTTCAAGGTAGTACCATCAGCTTATGCTTGCCAGGTGCTGTACATCAAAAGGCCAGGGTTCCTGGTTACTGAGCATAAGAGAAGACTAAGGTCTCAGGAAGTGGGTAATGAGCTGGGCACAGCCCAGGCTTTGCTGGAGAGCAATTGTAGCCTCTATGCACTGTCATTTGAGCTCCTCTCTACAATTTCTTCCTTTTAGATAATTTTTGCTCGTACGCCAAACCCAGTGCTTATGCTGATGCCAGTTTAATGCCACGACTAACCCACTCCTACAGAATTCAAAACTCTTTCCTATACTTTTCATCTTACAGGCAGAGGTTAACCTGTAGGTCAGACCAATAGAGTTACCAGGAAAGGCTTATTCCTTCTCATTTTATTAGACTAATTATTTGCCACTTAGTGTGGGGCCATGATTGAACTGGCTTGCTTGAAATACAGTGGTTTCCAGGTAACTCGTATTTGAAGAATATAGGTTACCCACTACTTGTGCCAATTTTGGCAGGAACAAATGTTAAAAGTTCTCAATGCAGAAAATCAAGGAAAACACCTGCCCCTTCTCAATGTGTTCTTCAGCCCCCAAATGACCTTGTGTCACTGAGTAGGGTGACAGAGGTTTAACACTAGGGTTGTAGACGATAGTTTAAATAGTGTTTAAAAGAATTGTCATTGGAAGAAAATGGGTTGCAGTAATTTCTCAAAGAGTGAAGAATCAGCTTAGTGTGTCCAGTGGCAGTTATGATGTTGGAAGGACAAGTCTGAGCCTGAGATTCTGGTCTTTATGTGGGAGTGAGGTGGTGATGAATTCCGTAATTTTTGTTTCCCTTCAGTATTTCATGGATAGGAAAATGTTCCAGAGAAACCACCTAGAATTTCAGGAAAAAAATTCTTTTCTTTCAAAGATCCTGTTCAGAGTCCAGCAAGTTAAAAAACACAGACACTTCACTAACTTGTGCTGCCAGAACACTGAGTGAAAAGTTGTAAAGTGAGAATTTCTGTGCGTAAGTGCCGGTTCTTTGCCAAACCCGAACATTCAGCACCTTAACAGATAGGGTATGTTTAACATGACTTCACATTTAGCCTTGTCAGAAAGGAACCCAAAGAGGGCTGGAGAGATGACTCAGCGGCTTAGAGCACTGGCTTATCTGCCTGAGGACCAGGGTTCAATTTTCAGCATCCACATGGTAGCTCAAAACTGTCTGTAACTCCAGTTTCAGGGGATCCTTCACACACTCCCAGACATATCTGTAGGCCAAACACCACATGTACCCAAAAGCTATACATAGTTCATATATATATTCATTCAAAGGTTTACCCAGTGAAGAAGGCAGGTGGCCACCCAGAGCAATGGCCCCAGACCTGGAGGTTGTGTTTCGCTTTCTTTTCAGTGCATTACATAATGCAGACACACTGTATTAGGGCAGCATTAACCTTGATTCCTGACTCCTTACCAAGGAAGGAGCCATTTGGATACTGGGAGTGAACTAGCCCACTCTAATGTCAGAACCCAAGCTTCCTCAGTCTCATGCCTCTTTCCTCCTGCCTGCTAGTGCTGCACTCTAGGGAGCACATAGACAGAAGGGTTTCCATCATCCCCAGGGGAAGAATGCAAGGCTCATTTTGGAAAATGTTGACATCATTAGTCCAGTTCTATTTTCTTCATGTCTTTATGAAGAGAAAGCCTCAGAGAACAGACCCTCAAATCACCCTTTAACAAAAATCCTTAGACCAGATGTGTATAGAACTCATAAATTTGTTTTCAGAAATAGTGCTAATTGCTGGTATGATACAAAACCTTTATTGGGGGCTGAGCCAGGGGGTCATAATCATATGTGTGAATATTGATACAGTGAAGATAGGCATCTTCACAATGCATGGGATAAGGTCAGACTGAAATAGCAAGAAATACCTTTATCAAATGAATGCGGGTATTAAATCTACAGGAGAACTTTGTTTCCAGGAAATTTCAGGTTTTGAAATTGAGGCAAAGAGATTTTAAATCTGTACAAAGTTTTCAAAGAGCTATGTCAAATGTGTCCAGTTGTTTTTAGAGAAGAGGAGGTAGGTTCCATATACAAACAGTTTATGCAGTGTATTTCAAAAGGCTTCTGAACACAGTTTGACTAGAAGGGCCAGGAGCAAAGCTGAGATTAATGGGTTGTCCTTGTCTGTGGGGTCCTGCCATGTGACACTGACATATCCTGTTCTATAGAGTCAATCTGTGACAGCACTGTTGTGACAGAATCCGAGCGGCCTAGCAGAGCTACAGAGAAGGGGACCAGAGAGGGAGGCCTTCCTAACCAGTCCGAGGTTCACAGGAACGCAGGACAGGACTGTTGCAACCAAATGGCTAATACTGTGACTCCATAATGAAGGAACCACACAGCTTGCTTTTTAAAGCATATATAAACTCCAGCCTTCTCTTTGAATGAGTCTTATTGGTTGTTTTGTGTTTTGTTGTTAGTTTGAGATAGGCTCTCATACTCTCTAATGTATCTATCGCATGCTGACTTGTTATGTCGCCCAGAACGGCCCCACACTTGCCATCTTCCTGCTCCCACCTCCCAAATGCTGGAATTACAGGGGTGAGTCATTATTCCCACCAAGGAAAAATGTCTGAAAGCCAAAATTGCTGGACTTTTAAACACTGGCATGGGAGTTATCTCCTGGACTCCTGTGCTAAAGACTACATATATCAGGAAAGGGAGAATGCTCTTAGTGATAGGGGCTTGTCACCAGTGAAGACAGAGAGAGACCCAGGCTTACTTGGCTTCCAGGGCCAGGGCAATGATGCCAGCAGCCATGGGAGCTGAGGCTGATGTCCCAGTATGATTGTCCGTGCATCGCTGCCTTAGGTCAGTAGTAATCTGAAAAATAAAAGCGAAAAAAAATTTAGACCCTAAGTACAGTCCGGGTCATAGTAAGAAGTTTACTCGCCAAAGTGGATGGAGAAGAATTAAAGATTAACTTTAAATTCAACGTTTCCAGACAATATGACCACTGATTTTCAAAGAGCTGCCTGTATAAATCAAACGTGACTGGAAACTGACTTCATTAAAACCAGAAAAGGTACAGGGTAAGCCATAGTTCAGAACATCAAGGTTGCAGATGTATCTCCAGAAAATCTGGTATACACACCTTGCGTGCCCTACGTTAGTTCCACTCTGGATTAAAAATGAAAGTCCTTTCATTGACCCACATTTTAAACCAAATATGCTGAATAAACACCCAGACACCAAACCTAGTGTCATTAGATGAAGGAATAAATGACACAGCTTCATGTTTTCTCTAATTGGTAACGGGGAGGAGCAGCGAGAGGTTTCAGGCAAAAGTTTCTGCCACATAAGTGACCTTTGCTTGTGGACCTTTCTAGAATTCATAAAAATGTTGTATGGATGAATTAAGGCTTCCTCAAAGGTTTCATTTGCATGGGCAGGAAACGCAAGGCTGGAGCTCCCGCGCCTCACACACAGCTAAGGCAGTGTCTGCTTGCTACTTTTCCATTTTTAACTTGCAATCTAAATGTGAAAACCAGATCATTTTATTTTCTTGGCTTGAGTCCAGTTCACCTCAGTTCTGACTGAATTCTATTACTATCCAGCAGAGGCAATGCTTACCAGCCTGTGTTTCATTATTGTCTCACTAAGAAAGAAAATTAAATTTAAGTTCTCTTTAACAAGAGAAATTAAGTACTATAGAATATGACTTTGGAACCATCGTAATACGGCTCAGATATTAAAAAAAAAAAAGTCTTCCCTCCTGGACAGGAATCCATTTTGTTCCCTTGGGACTGACTTTATGTTTGATGGGGAGATGGATCAGTGTACTCGCTGCAGTCACTGGATGACATCAGTAAACCTTTCTTTGGCAGGAAGACAAGTGTGTCACCACATATTACAGAGAAGAGAGCTGATGTGAACGCTGAGCAGAAAGACAGTGAGTCAAGGCAGCAGAAAGCACAGCCTTTGTTTTTCTAAGAGGACTGGGAGGTGCTCTGAGCTTGGTGTAGGAGGCAGATGGACACCCCTCCCCCACAAACACCCTTACAACTTTCTCCTATGCCACAAGGGCTGAATAGAATTTTCCGTCATGTTATAGAAGTAGAGCAGCGAGCGTCTTGGCCCTCTCAGTTTTCCACAACAGAAGACGCCTATCATCTTTTCCTTATTTCTTTTGACATGTGCTATGCTACCAGGCGACCTGAATCACATAAGTATGAACACTGACATAAAAGAAATGGGAGAAGAAACTTGTGGAAACAGAGATATGATTACGTAGGTGAACGGAACTGTATTCATCTATATGTAAAGGTTTTTTTGACAGACTTTTAAAAGCTGTACAGTAAGGTAACCCTCCTGGTAATTTCTGTGTGTATAGTATTATTAACTATACACTGCTGTCACGGATCTTTAGGGCCTGTCTCATCTGCATGAATGAAACTCAGAATGACAACTGTTCTGACTTCCTCCTCCCACCATTAATATGCTTCCTGTTTTGATGTGGTTGATTAAGTAGCTCACCTAAGTTAAATCATTTAGTGTTCGTCTCTAATTGAGATAATTCACTTATTGAAATAATTCACCTACAGGATGTCCTGAAGCGTCATCTATACTGTAGCATGTGACAGTGATTCCCTATTTTCAAAAAGTGACTAATACTCCAAGGTGCAATACTTTCTAAATTACGCATATGTTGATGGACATCGGGCTTGATTCCATATTTGGCTGATAAGCAGTGCTCCAAATGTACACGGGAGTACACAACGCTTTTGAAACCCGATATTCAATGCTCTCAAATGTAATACCAGAATTGGGGTTGCTGGATCATTAATTTCAACGGCATTCCTGTGGGTGGCAAGATGGCTCAGTGGGTAAAACACCTGTGCAAACCTAACAACCTGAGTTTGATCCGTTAACACAAGTAAGGTTGAAGAAGAGAACTGTTCTCACTCTTACACATTATATACCCACAGTAATAAATAACTTTTTAAAAAGGCATTTCTACACCACTTGAAATCTTAGGGGATTCTCTGTAGTCATTTTCTGGGGTACTGGATTCTCAGTCCAAGCATGAAGGCATCAGAAATAGCTTATTTCTAGGTCTCCAGAGAGATGGTCTTGAGAGACAACATTTTTTGTATTTTACCCCATCCCATGGTCACATTCCTTTGTGCAAGGGCCAATTTTTTTTTTCAACAAACTGTGCCTGGATTAAAGCCTTTTCTTGCCATTTCCTCTCTTGTTTTTCAGCTGTACAAGACACTTTCAATGCACAGATTCAGGTCCAGAATAAATTTTCGGAGTGTGTGCAGGACTTTTGAACCTTAAAAACAACCAATTCTGGGTACACATGAACAAGAACTAGTTTATGGTGTCAGGTCAATAGCACAAATATGCCTCATTGTTTTGTATTCAGCAAGCACACAAACATATAGCTTGTGCTTACATAAAAAGCTACCTAAAACTGTCACATAGAGACATGATGGGAAATGATATCAATTCTGGTAACTTTGTGTGGAATTCAGGTTACCATCGTGCTCTAACTTATTTCAATTATTTGAACTCAATGAGTTGGAGAAGAGTGGAGCAGGAAGGTGATGGGATCTTGAAGGTTAAAAGATTCAGGGAAAGAAAAGAAACAAAAATGTCTCCCTCCCTTCTCCACTCTAAGTGGAATTCCAGTCGGGTCATTTCAAGGGGAAGCTACTGTCAGTGGAAGAGATGTCAGGTGTACATAACCAGGAGCATCTAAGGTAAGGTTTTCACCATTAAAAGAAGCTGGACTATCAGGAAGTATTTATGTCTATCTGCAGGAAGAAAAATCAAAGATCACTATGGAATGTGCAACCTAGAAGAAAAATGATGGTTCAAAACCAAAACCACCTGGAACAACCCTGCCCATCACAAGGCACTGGAAAGAGAATGTTAGGATCTACCAGGGCACCCCAAAGTAAAGAGGCCTCCAGTGTGCAGCCCACAATACAGGATGGATGAATCTCAACTTCAGACATTCGAGAATGTCTCAGAGTTTGGTCTCAGTCCCGGTGGCAATTTCGCATGCTCCAAATTCCCTCAATTTACCATCCAAATCAGAAACAGAATTTGTATCCGAAGGCCTGAAATTGCTCAAGAAAATATCATTTGCATCCCTCACTGAGAAGGAAACTGGAGAGGACGCAGACCCTGAGCAGATCAAAGCTACCCTGATGGGCAAATTAGATTTCCAGCCTCATAGGATCAGTAGCAGATGGGGTTTTGGACTCTACAAAGTTAGGGATGTCATCTTTTCTTGGTGAGCCAGGCAGGGTATTGTTTAGCTCCAGCCAGGATCCTTGAGAACCATTGCTTCTCTCACCAGGTTTTTATTTCACAGCTCATTATTGGAGCTGACTGGGCTTTTGATTGTTGCCCACTGATACCATTCTCCAGGGAATCTTAGCACAGATTGACTTTGGTCCTAAGTGACAACTTTTTAGGGCAACCTCCGGCAAGTGTCCTCTCTCCCTGATGCCCTGTAATCCTTTTTATGTTGAAGGTGTCAGATTGCCTCATACTTGTTAAAAGAGCAACCGAAAAGATAGTTCCAAAACATGAAACGATTTTGCTGTCTGTTTGGCTCAAGTTGTTCCTGGTGCTGACTTAGATTTGGGTTGGAAATGTGTTCGTTGAACAGTTTTAGACACAGCGACTGGGGTCAAGGGCAGAGACAGTGAACTAGGGGCAGCTCATTACTAAGCACAATGACATGAAAAGAAACAAGGATCACTGTATGATTTCTGTGTTCATAGATGCCACCACTCATCTTGGTGTGGAATTCGGGGAAAAGGAATAGCTCACTATAAAGCGCCACTCCCATACTGCTAAGAGGACCTAGAAATGTAGAGTGCCATGGATGAGGCTGTTTCTCGAAAGAGGGGTCCTGTCTTGTGTCATTTCTATTCCACTGTAATGTACAGCTGAGTTACATATTGCAAGAGAAGCAAGTATTTCTTTTCTAAGTTGAATTGCTTACATTAAGCTCTCTTATATCCACTTCATTTCATACTCTGAACTTCTCCATTCATTTAGAAACCCCTTAAGGTCACTTCTCTTTTGACTGTTTAATCACAACTCCAAGAAACTTATAATCAACCCTTAAAAATTATGCATGTACTAATTTATGATCCAAGGGTTAAAGTGTAGCCAGTAACCTCACAATCCCTCCCTCAAGGTTTGTCATCCAACTACCGCCATAAGCAACTGATGGAGAGAGAGGAGCTACAGCCAAGTGTAGCACATTCCACACATCCACAGCATGTTTGCAAGGAAGTTATTATATTATTAACAGAAAAGGAAAACGGTTCAGCGAGGCCAATGATCTCATTCCAAAATGCACAGCATCAAAGCAATTAGTAGGTGGGGAAGACACTAAATCCTGAACCAGCAACGTAAGAAAAAGCAGAGTTTTAGAGTGTAGTCTCCCCCACCCCCCAGAACAAGAGCAACATCGTCAGAGCTTTAGCCACACCCTCAGCCATGGCAGAACAGCCTTGGTACCCCAGCCTTATAAGAAGCAGGTACAGCAAGCAGAGTTTCCGTTATGCTTTGCTACGTTCGGAGGAGAATGTGGGCCGAATGAGTGAATGCATCTGTACTTGCTCTTCTATCTATTTACTCTTTTAAAAGAATGAGATTTTCTAAACTCAAAGGAGCAGAGATGACAGAGATAGCAGTGACTGCGTTTGAGATGTAACGGGGTGCAGGAGGGAGCTGGAGAGCAGGACGCCTCTGCGGGAAGAATGTGCCTACTTTACAAGCTTTAAGAGCAGTGGGGTAATTCCTCCATCTTCAGTTGGCCTGTGGCCACCCCTGAGATATACCACGCAGCA